GGGGGGGTTTCGAGACAGGGTTTCTCTGTATTGCTTTGGAGCCTATCCTGGCACTCACTCTGTAGACCAGGCTGGTCTCGAACTCATAGAGACCCACCTGCCTCTGCCTCCCCAGTGCTGGGATTAAAGGCGGGTGCGACCAACACCCGACATTTTAGTGTGTTTTCAAAAGTGACACAATAGATGTGTGTGGAATCTTGAATATAATTCAGGGAAAATGAAGGATGGTTTTAAGTACATCACTTTCGTGTACTTCTGCAGTTCGTTCTCTGAAGCCTTTTCGATCCCTCTTTTCCTCTGAGGTGTCTGAAGTAAAGGCAGAAGTCCACTGTAATTATTCCAACATACAGTATTTTATGCCCTTTCTAGACTGATAGGGCTAGCATGAAAATTTCAAGTCATGTATTACATGTGAGCCTATGTAAAGTAGTAACTGACAAAATTGACAAAAACAGTGTTGATGGGGGCCCTCTTTGTGTCATGCCCTTCTTGAGACCACTTCATAGCATTGAATATTACTTTATTATTAAGATTTAGTTTCTTAACCAGGTGTTGGTGGCGCATGCCTTTAATCCCAGCACTTGGGAGGCAGAGGCAGGCGGATCTCTGTGAGTTCGAGGCCAGCCTGGTCTCCAGAGGGAGTGCCAGGATAGGCTCCAAAGCTACACAGAGAAACCGTGTCTTGAAAAAACAAAACTAAACAAACAAACAAACAAAAAACCAAAACAAGATTTAGCTTCTTTTTTTTGTTGTTGTTGGAACAGAAGCTCAACGTCTGATTTTATTACTTTGAATCAGCAAACATTTTCTGAAATCTCATTAAAACAACAAAAAGGGATTTAAAAGTCAAAAATCTCTCCAGGATATATATATATATATCTATATGAATGAAAGAAAGAGATGTCAATAAATTTTGAAATTAATGAAATAGATATGTTGTAGCTGACAAAGAAGTTTGGAGAAAGCAGAGGGTTAAGTGTTTGTCATGGAAAAGGGAACGAAAGAAATTGACACTTGCTCTAGAATCCCCAAAAGGTCAGGATTCAGTGGTGCCAACAACCTCTGTAGCCAAGGGAGCCAAGAGCATTGGGATCTGAAGTTGATTGGAAATCTGTAGTGACCACTGCAGGTCCCTCTTTCTACTTCATGGATTTGCAGCCGTTACCTGATCCCAGTGGAGATTGCAGACATTTAACAAGAAAGAAGAAAGAAAATGTAAAGATATAATAAAGTAGATAATGCAGGGAATGGGGGGATAGGTAAAAAGAATAATATTCTCCGAAATAAGATGCATTCATAAAGAACTTCCTTCTTTTTGTTTGTTTAATTTTTCGAAGCAGGTTTCTCTGTGTAGCCCAGGATGTCCTAGAGCTCGTTCTGTAGACCAGGCTGGCCTTGAACTCACAGAGATCTGCCTGCCTCTGCCTCCTGTGTGCTGGGATTAAAGGTGTGTGCCACCGATGTCTAGCTCATAAAGAGCTTTCTAATTGGCTAGTCCTTGTAACTCCATAAACTGTCTAGAAATGAAAAGCTTGATAGAAATGTTTGAAAATAAAGTTAAGGTGACATTTCCTTTTTTTTTGGTTTTTTGAGATAGGGTTTCTCTGTATTGTTTTGGAGCCTATCCTGGCATTTGCTCTGTAGACCAGGCTGGCCTCGAACTGTCTCTGCCTCCTGAGTGCTGGGATTAAAGGCATGTGCCACCAACGCCCGGCTCTTAAGGTGACATTTTCAAAAGTAGAATTGAGAGAGAAAAACAGAGAAGGGGTAAGAAAGATGTAGTGCATATTACTGTTGATAGAATAGAAGGCTGATGAAGGTTAAATAGTGAAGGGGGGGAAACCATTAAAGAAAACTTTTCACATTAACCAAGATTTAGCACAGAGGATGAAAACATATGTACCAATTAATGCCACTTCTAGTGGAATTTCAGGAAGCTGTGGAAGGACTATAAAAGTTTTCAGAGACAAAACGAAGACCATATGCAAGGTCATGGAAGTTAAAGAGACCTTGTAAAAATAGCTGTACCAGAATCAAGAGGAATAGTGTCTTCCAAACTGTGAAAATTATTGTTGGTCTGTAACTCTTTACTTGACCAAACCAAAATCAAGCATAATGCTAGAATGCTGTCATATATCAGACATGTGAGGTTTTAAAACATTTACCTCCTGTCAACCCTCAGAAAGTTACAGGAGGGTGATTTCTACCACAGAAGTGTCAATCAAGAAAATGCTTGGATCTAGGAAAGTGAGGGTACATTGTAGCATGGGTGAGAAAAAGTTGCCAGACAGGCAGGTAGCACATAGAATGCCAATATCGGGGGATGTCTATAGGAGAAGGGAGGAGCTAAGTTAGTCAATGTACCATGAATGTTGAGAGGTAAGAATATTAGCATTTATGGGAGAATCAGAAGAGTGATGAACTTAAATAAATTAATTTTAGGAATGACTCAGTTTCAAAACAACAAAAGCAAATACATGAAAAATACTGAGTCTTACTCCTCTTCTGTTTTTGCATCTTTAGCTCTATGTGGTTTGGCTACTGGGCTTATAACAGTCAGTATGGCTGTTGTTAAGATGTTAATATATATATGTATATATATTATGTATATATAATGCTTAGTAAATAACCACTGTCCTGACTGACTGCTTCCTGTCCCACATATCCTGGGTACCACTTTCCCTACATCATGTCCACTTTTATTTTGTGGTGCTGGGGATTGAACTAGGGTCTTGCACATGCTAGATTAATTGAGCTACTTCCTTAGCTCTACATCTCACAATGAAACAGCAGTTGATGTGGCAGGGCCCTCAGTACCTTCTTGGCCACCTCTTGGTCTCTATTCTGAATGGCTATATCAGGGTTACTATTAAATATTTAGAACATTACCCCTATTTAGTTAATATTACTTATAAACTCATAATGATTAAATTTGAAATGATATTTTTTTTTAAACTTACCAGAGAATGCAAGAAGTGTGTAGGAAAGATGTTATAATACAGCAGAATTCTTTTTTCCCATACTAAGAATTCTATGGAAAGAACCTGAAGATAAAACAACTAGAACTACAAAGCAAATTAACTTAGAAACATGAAATTGATAACAAAATAGCTCTCAAGGTGTTTAGAAGTTCTGTTTGTGAAGGGCAGTTTTAGGTATGGAGGTATGTTAAATACTATGTCTCTGCAAAGCTATTGACTTAAATTCTGAATGCCCATTGGATAGAAAAAATAGATAGAACAGTATTTCCTCACACACTGCAAATATCTTAACTGCCTGTTTTCCTTTTCTTCAGTGGCAGTATGATCACCTCACAGCCACCTACCTTCTGCTTCTAGCCAAAGCTCGTTTACAGCTTCCCACTTTCTCCTGTGGAATCTCCAGCACTACTCCAAAGGCAAGTTCTAGAACCCCTTGAGTAAATACCTGATCATCTTGCCAGCAACCTTGTTCATGAGCAGACGTGTCATAGGCATCAGCAAAACAGATGCAAGAAAACTTTTGTTTATTCTGCAGCCCTGGGATTGAACCTTGGGTTTGCACATTCGAGGCAAGCACTCTGCCACTGAGCTCTTTCTAATTGATTTAAACATCCTTGAAGATAAAAAATGGGAGTTCTGAACTTGAATTCTCCAAGTTTGAAGTTAATATAGCATTTTAAAAACACTTCCTCTAGCCCAGCAGTGGTAATGCATACCTTCCAACACTTGGGAGGCAGAGACAGATTGAGCTCTGTGAGTTTGAGGCCAGCCTGGTCTACAGAGCAAGTTATAGGCTAGCCAGAGATGTTACAAAGAGAAATCCTGTCTTGAAAAACAAAAAAACAAAACAAAAATCCAAACAAACAAATAAAACAACAAAAACAAAAACAATCTCTTCCTCTGTCCTTCTAAACCTACTAGCTATACATGATACAGTTAATCTTTAAAAAAAAAAAAAAAGATTTATTGCTTTTTATGTGTATGAGTGTTTTGTCTGCCTGTGTGTATATACCATTGTGTGTGCCTGGTACTGGAGGAAGCCAGAAGAGGGTGTCAGATCCACTAGAATTGGAGTTGCAGACAGTTGTCAGCCACTTTGAGGGTGTTGGGAATAGAATCGGGGTTCTATGCAAGAGCAGCCAGTGTTATCCCCTGAGCCATCTTTCCAGCCCCAGATTTAATGTGTCTTTCCTGTCTCTGCTTGCCCTTGTACATACAGGGCTTTTAAAGGGAGTCAGGCCTATGAATACATGAAACATTACATCTCATATGACATGTTGTATTTAATATAAACACTTTCATGTTTATGTTATTGTTGGGATTTAGGCTTCTGCAGTTGCTATAGCTTGTGCCATGTAAATTCGTTCCATGAGATTTGGTTTTCAGCAAGTTGTGATTCTTTTCCTGTTTCCTCTGTTGTAAACATTTATAGAGATGCAAGCAATGTCTCATTCCTTCTAAATTCTCACATTTGTTTTCATTGATCCTATCTTCCATAGCTGAAATTTATATTATCTCTGTGTGTGCCTGCGTGCGTGTGCATGCATGTGCACACACACCACAGCATGCAGGTGGTCAGAGGATAGCTTTTGACAATTGATTCTCTCTGAGGATTCAGGTTCCCAGTCTTGACAGCAAGCACCTTTACCCTACTAAGCTATTTCTCTGTGTCTGTTGCCACTCTCACCTGCCCCCTCACCCCCAATTGGTTAAAATTTATCTGTCTGCTCTTAGTAGGCTGATGCAGAAGAATTATTGTCTGTAGCCAGCACATGTATGAATTCAGGCCAGCCTGTGGCTACAAAGTGAAACCCTATCTGTAAAACAAGCAAACATAACTGAATACTTTGTTAGATGGGTGTAGGATTTTGTAATATAATCTTCCCTCAGTTTAATTCAGATTGCAATTTAATGACTCCAATATTAGGAAAACATCCCTTAGGGTTGCAGCTGTTGCTCAGTGCTAGTGTTCATTTAGCATGCGTGCCTGAGGCCCTAGGTTTGATCCCTAGTATCGCAGAATAAAAAAAAAAACAAAAAAAAAATATATTTCTTTGTTATCCTCAGAGATCCACAATTGACCCTCTTTATAGAATAAATATAACCCAAATGGACCTGAATTAGATAATTTTTTTTTTATATCTCTAAACTGTTTTTAAATAAGTTAAAACCACTGCTTTCTTGCTCTCTAGTTGACTTATCTGTCTGGAGCTTCCTTTAACTCCTTTAGAGCTTGCTTTTTATTGTCTGTCAGTCATGAGCTGTGAGTCTGAGTGGAAGTTAGGGTTTTTCTAGACCTTATGTATCTCCCATCTTTTCTCCCTTCTTGATCTTTTGACCTAACTCAAGCATAGAGTATTAGTTGAGCACCTGGTGGTCTTCGAAGTGAGGTATTCTCGCTCCCAGGCTAGTATTCTGTCTGTCTAGCTTTGTTAGGCTGGCAAATACCTCATGTCTTTTGCCTGTATGCTTATGACCCATTCCCTTTCTTGCTAATTTGGTCAAATCCTTTCAACCTTCAGGTTCATTTACATTAAAATATGGATTTTGGTTTTGATCAGGGTAATTACAGAAAAGTATTTATCTCTAGAGTTAGAGTAGTTACTTTAGGTAAACATTTTAATTTACTCACCTCAGTTAAGATACCTGGGATATTCTCCTGAGCCATTGGATTTTCTTGTAGCTGAGTTGGTATGGTCTCAGTGGATGGCTTCTTTGATCTGTAAAGTATCCAAGTGGGAAGATCTGAGAAGATATTCATTCTATTACATAGTGAATATTTACCTAATAATTTCATTATTTGGACAGTCTTACTAGTGAACCAATTTTTATAGCGGATAGACATTTTTAATGACCAGAATATAAGTAGAATAAAATTTTGGGTTCTTGTCTGGTACTTATGCAAATCAGTGAACCTTGAATCTGCCATATAGTTTCTTTGAGCTCCCCCCCACCCATAGGATGTCCCTTTTTTCTGGGGCTTTTGTTTCTGAGAAAATAAGTAATTTTGACTTACCAATCTCACTGCTTTCAGTGGGATAATAATAAAGTCTGGCTCAGGAATCACCAAAGACCACATAAAATTCATCAACAGTAGTGTGTTCAGGAACCATGGAATTAGGAACAGATCTTTTTGAGTGTGATACTTGGCCTTGGAATAGTCATGCTGAGGCAAAGCACACACTCTACACCTCAAACAGTGGGTTCAGAGTAATTGGTGTGCTGGGGGGACTGTGGAAAACAGGAATGACCACCATTGGGAGATCCAAACTGGACCAGCAGTTGAGTTTCAGTTTAGAAAAATGGAAAAGAAGGAGCATAGTGATTGGGGCAAAATAAATGTAATTAGCAGAGCTTAGGCACCAAATTGTACTTGTATCCTGATGACAGTGGTGAGATTTGTTTGATGGGGATGAGCTAAATGCTGGGGAACTTTGAAATTCTGTGTCACAGTGGTCATGGGGGAACTATTGACTTTTGAGTAAGAGAGAGGCAAAACAGTGATTTTGAAAAATGTATCCAGTGGTGGGCTGGAGATGTCTCAGTGAGTAAAGGCTCTTGGTAAACTTGACACTAAGTTTGATAGCCAGGCCCCACATGGCAGGAGAGAACTGGTTCCCATAGGTTGTCCTTTGACCTCCATGTTTGAGCATATATACACAGACAGTCACATTGAAATAAATAAATGTAAAATAAGAGAAATTTGTATGTAGAATTGTTCAGTCAGAGATGCTGTGTGTGTGGTTACTACCTACTATAGGTAGCATCATTGCAGCTGTCATTTACACAACACTGAACTTTCCCTCCCTGGGCCTAGACTTAGCATCAGTATTTTCTTCAGCATCACTGACATTCTACGCAGAGAGTTCTCATTGATACTAATTGGCCTTCAACTGCACTAGCTGTAAGTCTGGGCATAGGGATGTAAGTGTTAGACATTAAAGTAAATTTGCCTGGTCAGGATAATGAGATGGTGAGCAGTGTGCTTCATAGCCTCAACCTTTAGGCTATGTCTACTATACTCTCTATATCCTTGTACAAGAGTATCCTTGTATAGGGCAAGGATGAAGGAAAATAAGGTATTCCAGTGGGAGTGTTAGCATAGGTCCCAACTGTCCTGTTTGTGGATGATCTTTTGTAAAGCTAATTTGCTCCTGGCAGAAATTATGAGCTATGCTGTGTGCTTTTGGAATTTATGTATTTATGGGGTTGGAGAGATGGCTCAGTGCACTGGCTGCTCTTCCAGAGGAACCAGGTTTTATTCCCAGCACCTCATAGAGCCTCACAACTATCTGTAACTCCAGTTTCAGGGAATCTGACACCTTGTTGGCCTCTGCAGGTACCATGCATGTGGATGGAGATACATGCAGACAAAATAAAATAAAATAAAAATAAAGTAAAATTTTGATGGAGATTGTGTGTAGGGTAGGGTATACATGCCATAGCATGAGTTTGGAGGTCAGAAGACAACTCTGGACTTGATTTTTTTCTTCCACCTTTGTGAGTTCTAGGGATCAGACTCAGATCACCAGGACTACAGGGCAAGTGCTTTTACCTGCTGAGCCATCTAACAGTGCTGCCTCCTGGTAGATGTTCTTACAAGTGAAACTCAGAGTCAAGACATGTCCTTCCCAGCTCCTGCTTTGTTGGGACTTTTATTGTAAATTTGCAAATGAATTGTCTACTATTGCTGTGTAGTAGTGATAAGCTAAGTAAATCATATTCCATATAACATCTAGCTCGTCTCTTTGTTTCTGCTTCCAGGGTTTCTCCCTGGGACTGCTATGTGCTGTTGTAAAATTTGAATCGTGGTGTTGTTTTTACTAACTTCTTTTGCCTTTTAAATTAATAGTCAAAGAATCTGAGCCTGGAAGATATGACCACAAGTGATGATAGTGTGGCTGGATTAATAGATTCTGAACTGTATGAAGATAATTTATCAGCTCCCCAGACACCACAGGTGGGTAGTTTTATTACTACTTAACGCAGAATGCATGTCTTAATTATAAACAAATCTAGTCTATCAGGAAATCAAGTCTGTGCTTGTAAATTTGTTGAATCACTGAAGACATTAATGGAGATTATTGGAATATTAATGAAAGAGAAGTCAATGATTTCAAAGTTAAGAACCCAAGATTCCATTTTGGAGCTCTTCATTGCCTGTCCCCCTTTTTTGCCCCACCCCTTTTTAAATGACCTATATTTTGCATGTAGTTAAATAATTGAAATTTACCCTTTTTAGTGTTTAGATCTACGTGTTTGACAACATAGAACCACCAGAAACTGTGACACAGTAATTCCATTTCCTCTCTCCCAGGTCCCTCATGCCCATTTGTGTGAACACTTCCTCATCTAACTCAGGGCAGCAACAGATACTAATCTTCTGATAATTTTTATTTTAATCCTACTTTAAGTTTGTTGGACTTCTTAGGCATGTGGTTCAAAGTTTCCACCAAATATGGGACTTTAGGACCATTTTTTTTTCCCAAATACTTTTTCCCATTATCATTCTGTCTCTGTTCTTTTTTCTTTCTGTTCCTCAGAGTAATTTGATCCACTTGTTTCCAGTTTGCTGATTCCCTTTCTAATGGCTCCTGAAAATGCTGTGAATTATTCCAATCAGTCAATCACCTCTCCCCTCCCATCCCTGTCCCTCTGTCTGTCTCTTTCTTGACAGGGCTTCACTGTCACTGTGTAGTGCTGGCTCCCCTAGAACTAGTGCAGCCAGCTCCCAGATAACAGTGACTCCTCATGTTTCTGCCTCCTGAGTTTTGAGTTATAAAGGATATACCACTATGCCCAATTAATTTCTTAAAATTACTATACTTTTGAATTCTAGAATTTCTATATAGTTCTTATAATTTTATCTCTGTTGATTCTCTATTAATTGTAGTGTTGCCCGTATACTTTAGTTCCTTAGAACCTAGTTTCTTAACTATGAGTCCCAACCTCATAAGACTGTGTTGATGTGAACGTCGGAGTTGAGAAAAATTTGGCAACAGCAAAATGTTTATGAGTATAAGAGGATCAAAGATTAATTTAACATCAGCATGTGATGAGCCTGAGGTGTTCATGGTTATGTTCACCTATATTGTAAAGGGAGTTTTTAATTGGTCTAAGTAATAAAAACCCGGAGTGAGATATAGAGGGAAATGCTGAGAGACCAGAGAGAAGGAGCAAATCACTGCCACAACTTACCTCCTGAGTTTCTCCTCAGACAAGAGAGTGAGTTCCTGTTTCTTCTTGCTTATATCTTGTTTCCACACAGCTACCTCACTTCTGTCTGTCTGTACAGACCTCCAGACCTCTATGGTTAGCTAGTGGCAAGCTCCATTCTCTGAACTTCAGACAGGCTTTATTTGTACAAGCAAGATATCACATATTACATTGCATGATTTAACTGTGACTTCCATCCCGAGCACTCAGCATGTGCACTGTCCACCACAAATGCAGGTGCTGCGCAGTGGGCCATGGATGTTGTTTGAAATGCCTTGGCTCACATTTGAGACTTGCTGAGTTAACTTCCATTCCAAGACATCATTTCCTTAAACTCATCTTTCTGTTTGAGAACTCTTATTTTCATTTCTACTTAGTCTGCACGCACTCTCTCTCTCTCTCTCTCTCTCTCTCTCTCTCTCTCTCTCTCTCTCTCTCTCTCTCACTCTCTCTCTCTCTCTCTTATTTTTCTTTGAGCTCTTAGAAGTCTTTGAGTGTTAGATTAGGGCTTGAAGGTTTTGGTTAAGGAGATTGAAGCCTTCTGTATTACATCAAGTTTAAGTCTTAGATTACTGTGATTAAGCAGTTAGTGTGATTTTGGACCCCAAGTCAACATGACAACTGTTCAGTTTCTCACACATTGTTAAAGGGCTCTTCCTCCACTCTTTTCTGAGAGCCAAGGCTAAGACAGACACATCTTCTTGCTGATTCCTTTGGAGGCATTTCTACTTCACTCTCAAGCCCTCTCCTGGCTTTCTGTGAGAGCTTTGAAACTCAACCTGCTTTGCAGAGGCCCTAGGTCTCCATGTTTCCATGCCTGTCTCGGGTTAGATTGTCAGGGGCAGTAGGGTAGAAGCCCTGAGGGCAGCAGTTTCAACATTGGCTTCGTGTTCCTGTTTTTAGTTTGATATTCCTTACTCTTTTGTAAGTTCAGCTGTAAATTTAAAGGGAATAAAATATTTTTGATATGGAGGCTGGAGAGGTGGCTCAGCAGTTAGGAGCACTGGCTGCTCTTCCAGAGCCTCCGGCTCCCAGTATCCACATGGCAGCTCACAATTGGCTGTAACTCCAACTCCAGAAGGCCCAGTGCCTTCTGACCTCAGTAAGCATTGCACACATGTGGTACATAGACATACATACACCCATAATCATAATATAAAAATAAATGAATACATGGTCATAGCTTTTTGTTGTTTTGTTTTTTCATTTTTCAAGGCAGGGTTTCTCTGTGTAGCTCTGGCTGTCTGAAACTCACTTTGTACACCAGGGTGGCCTTGAATTCACTGAAATTTGCCTGCCTCTGTCTCCTGTGTGCTGGGATCAGAGTTGTGCACCAACTCCACTGCCCACCTTAAATCTTAAAATATATTTTTTATTTTTATTTTTTAAACCTTTTTTTTTTTAAATTTTATTTATTTATTATGTATACAACATTCTGCTT